CACAGATTAAAACACTCCAGCTTTTCTGGCCTTGAGTTGACCTTGAAAGTGAATCGGATCGTGGCCTCTGTCACGCGATGAGGATGAGGTCAGAAATCATGATCTATCGTGTCACGTGCTGTTCGACAGAACTGCACAGACCGGATACATAAGGCTTTTTGTCTGTTACCACTTTATGAATTATTCAATCCAGCCTCATTCCCCCGTATTGACCGACTGAATTCACTTTCGTTTTCTGTAATGTTTACATGCATGTAACAGTATATACTGGAAGAGAAAGTTACGAATTAAGCTTGTTCTCCCACAGTTACTTTTCTGAATCTCCTCACTGAGAATATAAAATGTGAAATCCACATTCGTTATTTAGAGTTCATGGATTGCTCAACACGTAACCAGCAATGTTTGCGCAGGTGTTCCTTTTCTTTGAACATACTATGTTCCCATATATTCCCCGTAGTCCGCGAACTGATAGTCACGCTACTGATATTTCTGCACGCATCATCTTCTTATTAGGACAGAACGCTTGAAAACGTATGTGTGCACGGTTAGATTGTGTACTCGCTTTGTGTTGCTCATAGAAATTAATTCCCCCTCCCCCCACATTCCTCAAAATAGAACCAATCCCCGTCCATCTTGCATAGCCTCACTGATCTATTGTGAATTAGACAACGATCGGCGAAGTTCCTCTCTCGAAATCGCTCTCTATACGGTAGGTAGCATGACCAAAACACCATCCTTGACACGTTCCTACCCTTCGCTTTCTCACTGTTCCCCACACGCACAGGACGTTTTCGTGCGAGTAGTTCAAAACGAGGGCATCCTGGCTCTGTGGAAAGGATTCACACCCTACTTCTTACGAATCGGACCACACACGGTGCTCACATTCATTTTCCTGGAACAATTAAGTCGGGGCTATCGACGAATTGTGCTCGGCGATCTGAACGAACGACGTGGTGGTGGACTGTAACACCCCGGTTCCAGTTCCTGACGAACGACTAGGATCGTACCGAATTGCGTATTTGTAGCCAGGTATGTTCACCCTATCCTTGGCCGGTGGTGGCCCCTGAAAGTGGCTCCTCGTTTTTGTTTCTGATTGTCCCGCGCACATTATATATTATCAATCCCGTAAGATGTGAAGTTAACTCGTGCGACGATCATGAAATATTTGAACGCTACGATTTTTCTAATGCTGAAGTTAAATCCAATAAGTACAACTTCGCAGCTGATTAGAAATTTGCACAGTCGATATGAAAATAAATAAAGTTCCTTCAGGTACGCGATGATTATTTTTGGGATTGTAGGACTGTGAGACGAACAAGATAGTGTTTTTTCCACTCCTGTTTGCAGGTACATAGAAAGAGGACAGAGAAGGGTCAATATTGATCGCATCCGGGAATTCGAAACGGCTTTCGTGAAATCTCGGAAGAGAGTAGTTAGTTCTCTTCATCACAAGTCGTCCTGTCAATTAACGTATCATAAGTGTTGAATTACTTCAAATAAAAACAACTGCATCCGAACTTCTGTATGGGGATAAAAGCTTAAGGGATCTGGAGAACAAGATGAAAACTCTCTCCCCAAAATCAGTGAAAAATATAGGGGTGGGATGTAGCTGGTGTGTGTGTGTATGTGAAAGAGTGTATTCGATCAAAAACTTGGTACAACGGCGCACGCTAAAGTACAGTTTGTTTAAGGAGCTTGTGTGCATACACGAGAACGGTGTTCGCACTGTTGTGTAAACCCCTAAACGTAAGTAGACCAAGCCAAGCTGTGGATGAGAATGATACGAGCCTTGTTTTGGAAATAAGATCAAAGAGAATCTATAACAAGGTTGGAAAACGGATGGCGGGGGGGGGCAGTTTTGAGGTTGAACTGAAAATCAGTTTAGCTGCTATTATTAAGCACAAGAGAGCGGCACATAGATCAGTTATGAAGTTCATTTAGAGTGTTTTGAATGGGAGAAGGTGGACATTCATTGGGCCAGGAGGTGAACAATGTCATCAGTATACTGGCACGCAGTAAAATTTCACGGAATTTCACGGAAGATTCTCCGTGTACTGGGAGTAACACATGTGAATGTAGCCGGAGCCAAACCGCAACCTTGACAAAACATTCAAAGTTTCATTTGAAACAAACACCATTATGTATTGATCAAATCCAGATTGTTATTTAATATGTGGATTAAAAATTTAAAAAAATGGTGGTGAAAATTGTTATTTTAGTGTTTCGATGTTCATATCCGCGATATAAATCACCGTTTCCTTTTTTGTTCCAATATTTCCTTTTTTTTGATCGGGATTCTAATCAACTACTATTTTCAGGACATATTGGATCGTGTTATGCATGCTTCGAATTTCAGGAATGATGCACGAATTCTCCGATGCAGTCCAAGATTTTATATTCTTGATTTCTCTCTCTCTATATGTGACCCGCGTTTCGTCGTCTTTTCATTTCATTATGCTTCCTGTTATATCGTCTCCTCCTCTGGCTCCTCACGAGGAGCCGCAACTGATTCACATTTCACATATTTTTTTCACATCTGCACCTGGATTAGTTCCATACACAGCCCGGCGGGGTGAACAGAAGTCCAAGATTGCGTGAACCATTATGGTTGCACAATTCTCTCTCTCCTCGTCACACACACACTCTTCGTGGTCCTATGGAGACTGAAACCGTTCCTGGTCCGGCTCTCAACTCTCCTCATCCCTATCATCCGAATGACTATCACAATTCGAATGCTCAACTGTTCTCTTGACATTCCGCATAAAATCTGATCGTTTCGTTTCAGGGATTTTCGACACTCTAGTTTGAGGATGATGCTGTTGATGATGATGATGATGATGTTGTTCTTCTCTCCTATTGTTCCGTTCGTTCATATTTTGTTCACATTCCGTCCCATCTGATCGCGTTACACGTACCGATCTCGACATGATTAAAACCATATTCATACTCTCTATCCGACGAATATCTCTGACGGAACCGGATCACTCCTATATGTTTGCCCGAGAATCTCCTCTAATCTCGCGTTTCTTTTTCCCACCTATTTGTTTATTTCTTTATTCGATCACTGTTTTTCTTCTGACAATCGGAATTCGTGCGAATGATTACAAGACACCGTTGGGATTTAATCGTTATCAACTTTTTGTATAAATAACGGTTGTGGATCTTCGTTTGTGAACGCACGATCTATCGGGACGCATAGCTGCGTGGTGGAATTCCATGCTCATGTGGATTAATGGAAAGCTTCTTAATAAGTAGTATGTGAATTACTGAATGAAATTTCCCTGGAAGCACACGGCCGGCTTCGCGGTTCTTGCCGCTCGTCAGGCATGCGTATTCGGTAATATTTTGTCAGTTCATTCATATACTTGTATCCAGGAAGCTCGTTCATCATCGTTCCGTCCGCTTCTTTCTTACACTATTGTATGGTAAACAGTCAAGGTCTCAGTGAGGGATCTACTGTTCGCCTTTGGAAACTGTCGGACTTGAAGTGGAACAAGACGTAATGTCTTTAAAAGACGGGGGAGCTATCAACCACCTAAGTTGGGGTTTGGCCGTTGCACATTCGAACCCGAAGTTTGTTCGTCAAAGTCATTTGAAAGGGTTGTGGCACCACCTTCAATATTGTGCTTGATGTACTGTATGTCGATAATCGGAGTATGTGCAAATAAAAGTTTAACTCTTGAGCGTGTGAAACTTTCACATGCTAGTAGGTGCCTGTCTATGATAGAATCCACGAGTTTATCCCTGACAGTGCCACTACATTCAGAGATGTGTTTCAGAGATCTCGCCAGCAAATAAAAGTATTTCTTCAAAATACCGGGAAAAATCCCTGGGGAGCAATACAACCAGTGGGGTAGCACGCACACATTCACAAACCTAACAGTCAGCTTATGGGGAAAAGGAAGTAATCTCAATCGGAGTGAGATATATGAAAGCTTTCTAACTTTGCAGAATGTGTTTTGAACATGCAGTGAGCACAATAAGTAGTGTGATAATTCGACGCCAAGGTACTTTACCATTGTTGATTCCGGTGCAGGTTCATGATTGACAGAGAGGGAGGGGAACCTATTTGTTAAGGCTGAATATGGTACAACGGCCAACACATCCTGACATTTAGGAGTATTCCGTGAGAGGGAACGGGACAAGGACCAAGTAACAACGTCGTTTAGTTTGCTTTGAATTTCTGAAGTCTATTCTGGGGTGGATGCTTTGCAACCTGTAACAGCGTCATCTGCGTATTTACAACCAATGAATGCATGAGGACTGGGAAATTGTTTGATATACATTGAAAAGAAAAATGGGGAAAATATTGCACCCTGCAGAACACCAGAAGAAATTGGGCTTAGAATATGACTAACCCGCTATGGACATCACCTTTTTTAAGATTGCGTGCACACTATCTGTGTCGGTGGGTGTCACCTTCAGAGATTCGACCATGCAATCCTACTTTGGCTACGCTTGATCGTTAGCTGATCATTCGACCTTCATTCACCGAACCGTCTTTTGCCGAAAATGTTCATCATAAAGAGGACATCACCGAAAAACCTCTTTACGTAGTGGCGCATGGAGGAAAACACAAAACCAAATAGCTCCATTTCACCATTGAGAAACACAGTCAGCGGGACACTGATATTTTCAAATGGCATCTCAAAGCCTAGTAAATTCCAGTCAAGAAACGATTTATACTCCCCTCCAAGGATGAATTTTCAGCAATAAAATTGTGCATTGGGTATACAAAAAGAACAGACCGTCAACAGAAAATAAGTTCGATACGATAGTAAAAGAAAGTATTCCAATGCAAGATTCCTTCCCAAAGGTGAGTGACAGTCACTTGTCGAGAGCCGAGCCGGGCACGAGGTTAGACTGCCACTTTTTGAGGAAATGCGGACAACAAAGAGTTGTGATATTTGGAGCGAGTTCGAGGATTCGACAGGGTTGTCACGATTTCGTGATGCAGACAGTGAACACCNCCCCCCCCCCGCCGCCGCCATCACGTGTTATCGCATCAGCTGAACTTGACGCAAGCATTAATAAGCCTAGAAACCAAATACTCAATCAAAACAACACTATCTAATCCCTTTTATCGGGACGAATTTCCAGGGATCTGGAGCACAGGGGTAAATCTTTTTTCCTTTAAACCAGGTTTACATATCGTAGAGGACTTTAATCAATGTGGAAAGATGCAGCCAATTCCGAAATGGAGAATAAAATTCGGTGGGAGGTCCAGTTTCCTGAGCCTGTATACATAAAAGGACACGAGCAGTCCAGGTTGGGTTATGAATGAGGCTGACACCAAAGTATTATGAAATTGAGATTTGGGGATGCTTGATGTTTAACTTTGAGCTAAGGTAGTTTACTTACCATTGCAAGATAACGGAACCTAGTTTGTAAGACTGAAGGGAAAGTCGGTGCACGGATTGTTGTCAAGTACATGAGATCGGGGCACAGAAATTCATTAAGGCTGACCTGGAGAGGCCGAAAACTATCTGGACTAGGGAATGGGTAATCAGTCACAATATCATCAGCATACTTGCAAGCAATAATGTTTAGGGACATGGACAGACTATGTATATATGTAGGAAAAAAACGAAAACGGACCAAATATTGTCTTGAAAAATACCAAAATTGATGTTAACGGAAGAAAACTTTGTGCCATCAAATGAAGTACGTGAACAGTAGTCGAATGAAACATTCGAGATTTCAGAGGACAGACCGCGCTTAGAAAAACGTTCAATAAGCACTCTGTTTGGTCGAGAGAATCAAACTCGTTGGCATCATCGGGAGTATTCAAACAAGCACATTTCTCTAAAACGGAATCAACGGAGTAAACCATATGGGAAACAGCGTCCAGTGTGGATAGACTGGATCAGTAGCCAAACTGGTAGATCATATGAGTTCCATACGGAGCATCTAAACATGCCCAAGTATCTTCAGCAAAACAGATATGTAATTAAATTGGACGGTACT